TTCACAGCGCCATAGACAGGAATTAATTAATTCATTAATTCCTCTGCAGTTAAGAGAGGCTGTATAGACCAGCAGTGAGTGCTCTGGATTATTTTGCCCCTTGCTTCTCAGACTGAAATTACTACATAATCTGGCCTTCTTTCTAGTGAATTTATTTTTTATTATAAATAGATTAGAATAAARCAACAAACTATTATCTCAAAAGCTGACTTCAACTGATTTAGACAGATTTAGCAGCTTTTTAGTTTTYCTTAATAAAGGTCACTTTTGTTCCCAGAACATGCTATTAACATGGATCAGATCACGCTGATATTTGTTAAAGTTTTTCATCACGTAAATATTGCTCAAGCTCCAAAKTTTCAGAATATGTCTCAATGATTATAAAAATATGTATGTATATGTAWWTAAATCAGTGTGGCTGGRAATGCTTACAGACCATGTGTGACAGCACTGCAACTGCTGCTCAGTGGTAATRTATGATTTATATGAGGTTGAATGCTCAACGACTGAGTTATCGATCAAAAATTCACATGCCACCATTTTTTCCAAGGTTACTTATCTCATCTTCCCATGAACATCTTTATGCAAAACAGTTTATGAGATAAAAGCAGAAATATTCTAAGCTACCTCTGAGTTGTGGAAGTCATGCTTGGTATACTTATTAGATTAAAAATGTTCTAAATATTTCAAGGGCTAAAGAGGGGAGTGTGGCATACGTCTTAATGATGTTAATAACCGTAATTTCACACTTCTTAGTAACCACACCTACTAGCAATTACCAAATTGACAGATATATGTGAAGTTGGCATTTTAGTGATTCACCCAGCAGAGCCAGAGAGTCTTTTAAAAGCCCAGAATTTAACTCTTACTGATATTCCCCTGMCATTCATGTCACAGACCTGAGCACAGGGCTAGAAATGCAGCTGACAATTCAAACTCATCATTAACCTGATATCCACATACAGCTCACTATAAAAATCCTCCACAGACTCAGATGTGTGTGCTCTTCCAGCTTAACTAAAATTGTTGTTAAATAAGTGCCTTCAAAGGACATTCTTCAGGCACTGAACAGTGTCACAGCCCATTCAGATAGCACAAAATATGGCAAAATATGTGCCACTCTGAAAAATCAGTATATTTTCCCTAGTTTGCAAAGTAGAAAATGATGGCATGGCTCTACAAATAATTAAAGGTGTCCAAATAGTCGTTGGAGAAATGCACCCAAATGTACACAAAACCAAAGCATAAAATTCATTCTTTTATAGTCAGAGAAGTCTGTGATACTCCAAGGAGGAATATTATAAATTGTGGTGTCCTCCTACTAACAGTGAGAATGGAGATTGGAAAAGGGCTTTAGATCTTCTAAAGAGAGTCAGATAAAAAAAAAAGCAGCATCAGAATAAAAGTTGCAACAAAGGAAATTTTAACTGCTACAGGGTCTCTTGAAATTCTCAGTTCTCTTGAACTGAGGAATCACTTTTTAACAATAAAACAAGATATAAAAATGAATTTATTTAAAGTACTGTTTTCATGCATAGTTTTGTACCGAGATTTATTCTGCTCTTCCCTTGACCACTGTGGACTCTTCCCTGTTTCTCTTCTACGCATTTGTTCTCTTTCTTCAACTACAACTGATTAAGCCCTGTGATTTTTGTATTTTTTCTGACTCTTCCTTATCTCCCTCAATTTTATTTTTTTTTCTTCATGATTTTTCCCAGGTCTGCTGAGCTCTCCTTACTTTTCCCACCATCTGGCTAGACAGCTGTTSCTGATAACACCGAGCAAGTGAGTTGTGAAAACAGTTGTTCAGAAGCTGATTTTACCTGTAGTTCCCATTCTCCATGGAACAGGAAGTTCTGATGATCAGAACARGTGAAATGATGTATGAAACAAACCGTGATGCATTCAGGAAAAATTAATATGGCACAAACGAGTTGTAGAGACAACACAGATTGGGCCAGATTAAACCTAAACCAGTCTATGAGATAGAGCCAAAGAGGAAAAAAAACCTAAAAATCTCACCAGATTCTTCAAATTCACTGTTGTAAGCATTCCAGGTCTCACTTATGCGGAGCAGGCTTTCTTCCATGGCTTGAATGTCCATGTAGGGACAATTGCACTCGGGGAATTTGGGGCCACACTGACACCAGCAGTCATTGTCCTTGCAGATGAACTCTCCCTCGGAATTGCAGGCAATGTAGCTCAGAGCTGCCTGGACAAAATGCTCTTGCAGGTACTCAGGCAGGATGACCTGAAGACCTGGAGGAAAGGGAGGAAATATCATGGCATTGGACACAAAGGAACTTCTGGAGCCAAACAGCTTCCCCAACTATGCAGCAAACAAACATGCATATGGAGTTTTTAGGAAAATTTGCACATCTGTTCAGCATTTTTACTATGCCATGTATTTTCTTTCKCAATAATTCTTTTCAGATATATTTCTGACATTTCCCTCTCAGCATGGAGCATCCATCCACTAAGGGGTAATCTGTATTCCTCAGATAGAGCATTTACTGTTGTGATCTTTCTAGGGGGATTGGATAACATCAACGTCTTGGGAAGAGCGCTGAGTGAACAGCAGCAGGAATCACACAGCCAAATTGTAATCTTGGTGCCAGCAATAATGCAGATTCTGAAAATGCTGAGGAAGGGAAAGCAGTGCTGAGAGACAGCGTAAAGAGACAGCATAATCAGGACAAGGAGAGTAAACATTTCCATCTGAAATTGGGCTTGATTTCCATGTTTCCTTTGACACAACAAGATGCAGCTTGTCTAAATAACTCCAGTTATCTCTCGTGATTCCATAGGGGCAAACTAAGAAGGAAGGGGAAAATTGGGCTGGAGGAAWTTTTTGAAAAAGAAAATTTGTCTGATTGTTCACTTTTTTCTGGCAKTGGTACTAAATTGCTCTGGGACAGTCAATTGGATGTGAAGGGCAGGGCTAAAAACCTTGAGAAAGAAAACTCATTCATAAATCTGCTAAAAGTTTAGCATGGAAAGGGTGCAAAGTCCAGCTCCTGTGGGGCTCAAAAAAACTCCTGCAAATGTTGTCACAGTGATGTRTCAGAATCACAGAGCAGGTGAATCAAAAATTCACAATGTTTGTGACCAGAAAATTGTGTCCATTGTTCATGAGATTGCAGCAATGGGAATGATCATTTTACAGGGAAGAGTTTTAACTGTCTAGCTCCCAGTCACTCAGAAATTTTTATTTATGATWTGTTGYTATTTTCTGTGGTAAACATAATCTCTCTGGAACCAGTGATTAGTGATCCAAGTAATTTCTCAGCATATAAATTGGGTGTTTGGTGATATAACCTTCTTCTCCATATCCACTTGGACAATTTCACCAGAGATTTATCCCTTATTCTGAGATATATACAAAAATAGAGCTGCAACAGTAATTTCAGAACCCTTCCGAGTCAAAGTTCATATCACAATTGCTGAAAGCTGGTCTGTCTGTACTTTCTTCTGTTCTGTGGCAAAATTTGTAAAACTCTGCTGTTTCCTGAGTAAATTTTCTAATGTAGTTKTGTGCCTGTGAAAAACCATGAGGCTGTGAAAGGAAAAAAAGCCCAGTTTGATGCTTCCATGAAAGAGTTTACACAGTTCTGATAAAGCATTTCTCCCCATGACAATCCAAAGGCAACCAACTACAGTTAGAGAGATGCAAAAGTTATTTTCCAAATAACTCACAAACATCATGAATATGCTGGAAACCATAAAAAAAACCCCAAATTATTTCTGGAAATGTTCATTGCATCCCAGTGGAAATGATAAATATTTAGTTTAAAAAAAATTCTCTCTGGGAAATAATTGTATGTTTTTATGGCTTTTAATCTGTTCTGGGAGGAAAGGAAAGGAAGAAAACACACATGGAYACTTCAAGGAAGARTCACAGAATTATRGAATATCCTGAGACTGAAGGGATCACAGAGTTCATCATCCCTGAGAGCTCTTAATATCTACCAACCACTTCACACTGCATGTCTGAGTGATTTACATAATCAAATAGAAAATTTAAAGTATTGGAAATAATCATATATCTACCTGCAACTGCAAATTAAAAATTGTACTATTCTCTTGTGGTTAGAGTCAGAGGTATACACAAATATAGACATTAAAGAGAATTTAGTGGGGTTTTTCATCATCATAAGTTGCTAATGTAACTGAAAATAGCAATTATTAATGGCCTAGTACCATAAAGAGGGATTTTTCAAAAATTTTTATGTCCTACTATGCAGACTGGAAAATGTTTTTGCTAAAACTAAAAAAAAAAAAAAAAAAAAAGTGTAGAAATGATTACTTTATTTTTTATTTTGCTTTCTCTTTGTGCTTTTTTTTATCTTTCATTTTTATATATATGCAATTACTACTGTTTTCCTAGTGAGTGAGATTTTTGACCTTCCATGTTTTTTTTTAAATTCCCAAGAGGAGCCCTTTGGCTCCTCCTGATTTACATTCAAAAATGTGTATCCTGCTCCTCTGGTAACTCCATTAATTTTGGTGGCACAGCCACATGAGGTGTGAGGTTCTGCTCAGCATGTGCAAAGCAGACTGAGTACATGAAATGTCACTCCCAGCTTGGTGAGATCCCTGGGAATTCAGGCTGTTTAAAAGGTGTGCCAGTGGATGCTAAATAGGGATGCAAAATGTTAACAGGGCTATTCAAATTATTTTCTGATGGGTGCAGAAATTGTTTCTATTTGAAAGGCAGCACGAGGTACTGACATTTCCTTCACTTTGTCTGGAGCGCACTTATTGCACACACACACACACAAAAATTAGGAAAATGACCTTTTATGAGGTGGGAGAAAGAAAAAAAACAAATAGCGTGATAAATGTCACCCCATTCCAAAACAAATTAATGAAATTACACCTACATACCTTGCAACTGAATCTTATTTTCAGGACTCTGAACCAGAACAGAGCTGACAGAATCTAGGTTGTCATAGTTACTGCAGCCGAGGGGACCGGTCCGTGTCTCTGTTACCTGATGGAAGAGAAGAGAAGAGAGAAGCCCTTGCTGGATTATTCCAAGCAGACAGAGAAGATTGCTTCGTAAAGTTTCCTTCTTTTTTCAGCCAGAAATACATTTCAGATTTAATTATGGTGAAATAATTCAATTTAATTACAAAAAGAGTGTGTTTTACAGGTTCCACAAACAAATAAGTGCTATTTCTGTCACAGACAATCCTTACAAACGTCACAATACATTACAACACCACACAAATACTACAGCAGTGTAATGCTAGAATGGTGTCAGGCCACACCAATACTTGACCAACACTCAAACAATTTATTTTTCATAGCTGTGGGAACTATGAGTTTCATAAGTACAGTTTATGAAAATGAGGACTCTGATTTTTCCTCTTGAATCTTCTGCATGTGACAACTTCTTCTTGAAATCATAGAAAAAGCTCTGATTTTTCCAGTGAAGCAGATGAGGATTTGGAATTAAAAACCCTTTATGAGTTATATTTGTAATGGTGGTAGTGGAAGAATGTTTTTTGTAAGGGAAGGGCCTAAAGTTTAGACACAAAATTCTGGACATTCTGTCTGTTGTCATCACCAAATCCACGGCCACAGAACCAAACTACAGCTACATTTATCAAAACAGAACCTCCACAAGCAGAGCTATGGCTTAACAGTGAARGATTATGTTTGGGGGAGAGCAGTTATTTAAATCATAGAATCATYAAGGMTRGAAAAGCCCTTTCAGATCTTCAAGTCCAAACATTACCCCAGCACTKCCAGATACATCACTAAACCATGTCCTAAGCACAACCCCATGGGTTTTGAACATTTCCAGRAATGGAGATTCCACCACAGTCCTGGGCAGCCTGTACAGGGTCTAGCCATCCCTTCAGTGAATCAATTTTTCCTCATATCCAATCTAAATGTCCCTTGGTATAACCTGATAAGTAAATACATTTGAATAAAAAGGAAAAAAAAAAGTAGTAATTTATATGTTTCCTGGAATATTATATACAATTCTWAAGTGTCAACAAAGTAATTAAAAAGGCCAATTTCTTTTAAAAATGAGAATGGTCTAATAGAATTTCTGGACAATGAAGCACCTGTGATGGCCAGGGAAGGCAGTCAACAGAACAAGCAGCCACAGGAAACCCAAGACCTTAACAGGGGTGGATATACCATGATCTCACATTTTTTAATTGCATTGAATACTGTAGAAAATTCATGGGTTTGTAGTTCCTTCTCCTTTGTATCAAGAAGAGGCAGACAGAAGAGGGTGAGAGTGGAATAAAAGCAGAGAATTCTGGCTATGGATTATCATCCCAGACTCACCGACTGCCAAAGCACAACCAATCCCTCTGTCATGCACCTCCAAACTGTTCTCAGCCACTATCCTGGAAATTCCTGCTTCTCTTCCTTTCACTATTTCAGAAATTGTGGCCAGATTTACCCTTATCTGATATCTGCCTCACTTTTGAACACAACCACTTCAATTTTCTGTCACTTCAGGTATCATATTCAGCTCTGGATCTCCTGGACAATGTCTAAATTAAAGGGTCAAAAAAAAACCCATGCACTGAACAAGCGACTACGAGGCAAAAACAACCAACAAGAAGTATCCCAGTCCATATATAGAATCCTAATCTCTTTATACAATAACAAAAAGTGTTACCTAGATAAAATAAGAGAAATAGTCAGAACACAAAAAAGGACAGGKAAATGTTGCAATGAATTTTATCCTTACTCTGAAATATTATGCTCAGCATTCATCTATGCAAGTCTTTATTTAAAGAGCCATTTATTTTAATGTTGTTTTGGTTTCCATATCATTATTACAGTTTTCAAACATTTGTCTTCAAGGCTTCATAAAGTTATAGGGAATGTATAAACTGTAAAGCAAATTTTACAATTCCTATCYATCCCCATTACACTYATTCCTACTAAAGTCACAAAATAARCAAGRTTGGTAAATAGAGCCTATAAGCAAGGTTTTGTTCATGTCCCTTTTTGTTCATGATTCTTCACTCCTCTGAATTATGCCATAGGTAGAGACTACCTCTGTTTTGAGTGATGGTATTTAGGTGTGCCAAGATGCAGAATAGGGAAGAATAATCACTAAAAGTTTGTTCACTTTTAGAGACAGGGTATAAACATACATTGATTCAGAAGAAAACTACAAAAAATGAAAAAAGCTGAGGGCAGTTACATTTTGATGTGACTTAAGACATTCATCATTGTTGCAAGGAAGTAATAAAATACCATTCTATTAATAGCAATAATAGCCAATAAATAAGAACCTTTACTAAATGCTAAGTTTTCATTTCAATCTATATATTTATATTATTCATTCTTTTACTTTTCCTTCACACCCTCTGTCAGATGCCTTTCTCTGGCACTCTTAGCTGCTGCATAGAAAAGACATTGCAAGAAGAAATTCAAATTTATAGTCTCAGTATATAACAACAAAATGCTAAAGAAGACAAAAATCATCCAGCTTTCAACTTTTGATGGATGACCATTCTAGCCAGAGGTCAAAGTTATGGAGTTACATATGCCTTTTTATACTCTGTACAAATTCTGCTTCAAAAAGATTATAAATCAGAAAAAAAAAGTGAGTGACTGATAAATAAAAGCCCGAAATTTCTATCAAATTTTCAGATCAAATTTGATTTTCCTAAATTTGATTTTCCTAAATCATATARTCACAGTTTGTCTTGGAAGGGACCTTAAAGAATATCWAGTTCCAGCCCCTGCCATGGGGACACTTCCACTAGACCAAGYTGATCCAACCTGGACTTGGACATTTTGGAGTAACTCTGGTGATAATAAAACAGACTAGAGAAGAAAAAAAAATGAAAAGGATACAAATACATTTATTCTGGTTTAATCCAAGTGTTTCTGATGTCACTGATGATTTCATATKTTTTGTTTCAGGAACAATAGAAATGAAATTGGAAAGGCAAAGGCACATGTTTAATTATCTTCCAAGCAGAGAAGTGTGACTATGTTCAGTCCCAAAATCACAGCTGAAAACTGTTTTGTCAGAAAGTGTATTAAAAAAAAATAGGAGAGGGAAAGGTAATAAAATAGAACTGCAGATTATGCAGAGATGTAGCATGGTCCAGAAGTGACTGACTGTGTGCAAAGAGCACCAGAACCACACGCTTGTTTTGTACGAYCTGCAGCCCGCAAAGAACATTAACTCACAAAGCAAAACACCACAGAACAAAGTCATTAAATAACCAAAACCCCCTAAGAACCAGTAACAAAACACCTGTGAAATCATCTGACACGGAGCAGGCAGGATATTCTCCAGCGCCTTGTTTTCAGAGATTATCACAGAACAGCTTTCCCTGGGCAGCGGAGTTTTCAGTTCCCAGAAATAAACTCTAACATTTGGCATTAATGAGACAAATGCCTACAGTTTTCAGTCAGTTAAATCTCATAACCATGGTGATAATGACCCGATTATAAGTGCACTGAGAACATACCTCCTAGCACTTAAGCAGGGCTGAATTCTTGTGATATCAGTGGGTAGTATTTCCCTGGGAAACAGTCTGCTTTTTTTGTCCACGATAATTAAGCCTATAGAAGACTTTCCTAATAAAAGGRAAACATATTTCCGCAGAGATTTTGCTCCTGGTGTGTCCTTGTAAGCACATGCAGCTAATATTCCTAACGAAGTGCCCATGCAGAGGTGGTGTGTGCCTTGCATAAAGGACTGTCCTCTCCAGCAGGACTCTTTAAAAATGGATTTGGCTTCTAAAGATGAGCACTGAGCCAACACAAAGGCGGATGAGGCAATGCTGGTCACTGCAGGATAGGCAGCTGCGTTCACATTCACAAAAACCTATTTCATACTTTAACCATTCAAATAAGGAATTAGAGCAAACTCCTCATATCCACGGGAGGGAGGAAGGTCTGTTCTGAATGGTTGTGCCAACAGGAGATAGGGCAAAAGCGTGGAATGGGGAGAAAGCTGAAGGCTTTTGGATTTCCCTGAGCAAGGTGATGGAGGTGCTGGGCTGATGGCTGGAGCTGGTGAACTTTGAGGTCTTTTCCAGCTGGAAAAGTTCTGATTTGTGACCTCCCTACCATGCTCACCTTCAGGGCTTGTCCTGCAGCCATGCTCCCACACCCTGTAATCCCTGCCCATTCTGCAGTTAGTGCTCATTTCACCTTAAAAAAGAGTTGATCAAATAAATAGGCACTAAATGTACTTTCTATTTAAATGTGGATCTCCTGCCAACTCTCTTCTTTCTTTTCCCCCAGGCTTGACAGTTTTTTCACAAAAGCACCTTTATTCCAGCACTTCCCTTTGCCACACAATAGTTGCTGCTCCACTGCCCTATTTTTGTCATTGAACATATTAAAAAACTCCTGCTAATGAGTGTGTAATTAAAAYGAATCAAATTTTCTGAGTGCTCCAAACACTGATACTTCGCATGCTACGGGCTAGATGAACATTATGAACATTTCTGAAGGAGGTACAGAMAAACCAGCAGCATTCACAGTGTCAGGGGTTGGATTCATGTTTTCAATATGATTTTTTTAATTGCCAGCAATCTAAAACAATACCTCAAAGGCATACAACGTTCTCAACACATTTTCTAACAGCACAGGGCTGATGCTTTAATTTGAAGAACCCACTAACTCAGGAGACTTGGAAATGCTCCCACCRTATTTTTCTGTCATCTGTAAGATGGAATAGGAATAGTAAACCTGATCTTTCTGCAAAAGAGATAATTGCAAAATTTCCATTAACATCATTAGAAGAGAAATAGGGACTTCTTTCAAGTTTCTGGGTAAAGAGACAACTTTGAATTTTACTGAATACAGCACTAAAGCTTCCCAAGAGATCAGTGTAATTCTCCCATTCACTCTGCTTTGTTTCTACACTCCCAGGAATTTACTGTGAACCAGACTGTTACTCTAAAATAACAAGGAAACTGAAATGTATGCTCCTTACATAAAGCATTAAATACCTTGCAAATAAGAATATTTCAGGAACTGGAA